GCTTGACCCTTTTCTCTCTGTGGCAGCCCCTCAAATATTGGAAGACCGCTATCGTGTAATCCCCTGGTCCTTCTCTTCCCTAGACTAGCCAGGCCCAGTTCCTGCAACTGTTCATCGTACGTTTCAGCCTCCAGTCCCTTCATCATCCTGGTTGCTCTTCTCTGTACTTTTTCTAGAGTCTCAACCTCTTTTTTATAATGTGGTGGCCAAAAATGGATGCAGGACTCTAGGTGTGGCCTTACTAAGGCTTTACAGAGTGATATTAGTACCTGCCTTGATCTCGATTGTATCCCTCTGTTAATGCCAGTCAGGATTGCATTGGCTATTTTGGCTCCTATTTCGCTGGCTGTCCACTAAGACTCCAAGATCCCCCTCACAATTCCTGCTACTGAGCCTGGTTTCCCCCAGTCTAGATGTGCATTCTGTGCAGAAAGGAACGGAGAGGACTAGAAGCCAGGGACACTGAGCACAGAACTTTAAGGACCGCATCGAAGATCTCCTTTTTATTATTGGTTAAATCAATAGGACCCTTCTTTTGGCAACTGTTTGAGGATATGATGATGGTGAGAAAAGGGACTTATACCCCTCACGCACACGACCATCACCGCATCCTTCGCAATTCATACCCTGGGGAATGATAGCGGGCATTTATCCCTGTTGCAGCATCCGGGGATCTTATAACTGACCATTGGTGACCCACTCCAGGGGGGCTCCTGGTAAGCCAAGTTAATGGAGGAAGCTGGATTTGTTTAGCAGCTCTGTGATTCACTTAGCAACCGTGGTGATTTGCTTCACGACCATTGCAAAAAAGTCATAAAATTGAGTGCAACTCACTTAATGGCCACCTCACTGGTCCCAATTGTTGGTTGCAATTCGAGGACTATCCAGGTCCTACTTCTTCTTCTTCTGTTTTTTCCCCCAGTACCATCAAGCCATCAATGAACTACTTTGGGGAGGGGCAGCAAGAGCCTTTGACCACTATGTGACCCACCGCAGACCTCACGTCAAGCCAGCGGGCGAAAGGAGCCGGCCGGGTGCACAGACTACGAGTCAAGTCAGTTGCTGTGATTAATGTGCTTGATTTCTGCTCTCCTCAGCCATGGGGATCTGGCAAAGGAGACCAAATGGGATCTGGGTGCTTTGGGCTCCAAGGAGGAGAAACAACGCCGCCAAAAAATTTGGGAGCAGTCACAAAAATCTCAAATTATCGATCATTATTACTTGGTCTGTTGTGCGGATGCTTGTGGGTTTTTAGGAGGCGAGGAATTTTGGTGGGTGGGGAGGTGTTTGGGGATTGTCCTGTGTGTGTGTGCGTGTTGAGTCTGGTCTCTGGGTGTGATATGAATTTCGTTGTATGTGTATACTGTGTACAGTGACAATAAAGAATTCAATTCAATTCATTCTGGGACGTGAGAGACGGAAAGAAAACGTTGAACTCAGAACTGGACATTTAAATCGTGTCGCTGACATCATGGTTTATACAGCAACGCTCAACGCGTGGAAGAAAATGAGGGGACCCTCCACCCGTGGCAGAAAAGGGCGAAGGTAAAAAGGGGGTCTGGGGGTGGGGGGCACTCCCAGGATGGGAATATAACACCTGAGTGGCTCAAGGGGAACAGGTGCAGCAGAATAAGAGCGTTGCAAAGGATCTCGGAGGCCATCAGAAAGGAAGGAGTTAGACTACCTGGTGTAAATGCTCATTTCTGCCCAGCGATCCAAAATGAAGGAGTCTGGCCATGTGACGGACACAATCTGGGTTAAAATAAATGGGAGGGATACCGCAGGGTCTCTTCTCACCGCCCGGCCCAGGAGAAGACGCGCTTGGTGCCTTCCTAAGGTCTTCTTGGAAACCTCCCAGTGAAGTCTCAGGGACTTGAAATACTCAGATTCTCTGGGGTTTCTTCCCCAAACCCCAAAACTTTAACCTTAAGACTGCCTACTGTTGACCTCACCCCTTTCCTAAGAGGGTCTGTAGGGGGTCCTGCCACCAACGTGCCTAATGTCCCCGTCCTATTGCTTCTTTTATTTTTCTTCCATGTATCCATGTATTCATAACTCTGTTTTTACTTATACCTGTTATCTTATAATCACTTGACAAAATAAATAAAATAAAAATAAAATAATAATAAAATAAAATAAAATAATAATAAAATAAATTAAAATAATAAAATAAAATAAAATAATAAATAAAATAAAACAAATAAAATATAAAATAAAATAAAATAAAATAATAAAATATAAAATAAAATAAAATAATAAAATAAAATAAAATAAAATAATAAAATAAAATAAAATATAAAATAAAATAAAATATAAAATAAAATGGCCCCAAGGGCTAATCCCTCCTTCCCTTGAGCTCCCTCGGACAGGAGGAAGAGGCGGATGGAGGCATGAACGGGAGAGGAGGAGGAGGAGGAGGAAGAGGCGTCTGAGGGTTCTGGCATGTGGCAGGTCTTGATTTTAAGAGAAACTGAAACTGAACTTCCTCGTCCGGGACTATCTTGGACTTTCCACAAACCGGTTTACTCAACTCAAGAGAAGTGACAATGAGGAGGAGGAGGCGGAGGTGGAGGCAGGGGAAGGGGAAGGAATTCCAGATTCGTAGAGTCGACAAAGAAGGACTTGCTAAAAAGGGAACGAGAGCAGACAAGTGAGGGAAAACAGAGGCCGGGAGACGGGCCAAGGTCGGAGGGGGCTGCAGAAGGGGTGAGGCCACCCAGGGGTACCCGCAGGGCAGCATCTCTTCTCAGCTCTGCTCCAGAGGAAGAGGCCGAGCCTTTCCGGCTGGCCGGAGAAAAGGGGGCCAAACGCTGACGGGGGGGAAACGGAGAAGTGGAAGGAAGAGGGAGACGCGGCCACCCCTCTCAGACGAAAATAATCCCACCAGGAGACGGTGAAAAGTCGGACGAAGGACCGAACGGAAGTGGACGCCCGAGAGCAACGGGGCCAAGAAATGAATTTAAATCTCCGGGTCAGAAGGACTCCATCGTGGGGGCCTGAAGATCACCTAGTCCACTCCTACATTCCCAGAGGAGAAAGCAGACCCTCCCCCTTTTCTTTTTTTTACCCCTCCCCACTCAAGACTTCACACCCAGAGACGGACGGTTTTCAGGGGGTGGGCGGTTATTTATAGCTTCGGGAGGGGCTTGAGGTTGACTTTTTTACGCTCTGCCCGCTCTCGCCATTCAATTAACTGAGGTGGGACCCCCACCCCGCCCAGAGAGGCGGAGGTCCGAGGGATGCCTGCGTGGGGGAGGAGCGGCCTCCGTGCTTTCCCTCTCCTTTTCTCTCGCCCTTCCCCAGTTTCCCCAGTCGTCCTGCACTCTCCCCATCAATCGCTCACCGAGATACGGGTCAAGGAGGTCAGTCACATGGGCAGCCATGACCACCATACCCAGTGGGGCCTCTGAGATGCCCTAGAGTTGGGCTCCCAGTCCTCCTCAGACCCCTGGAGAGCAGAATAGAGGAAGAGAGTTGGAAGGGACCCCGGAGGTCTTCTAGTCCAACCCCTTGCTGCTCAAGCGGGAAACCCTAGACCGTTTCAGGCAAATGGTTATCCAATATGCAGCTGCCCTTGTCTGCAACCCGCTCGGCCTTCCCTGGATACCCAAGGAGGTTTTAGAGCAGGCCGTAGCTTGAAAGCGACGCAGTCATGACCGGAAGTCGTGATCAGCAAGGGCTCTTGGAGAAGTCTTGCCAATTAAACCTGGTTTTGCTCTTTGTTGGGCAGTTCCCTTCCCTGACAGCAGAACCACCTCAGACATAGCTTTGCTTTCTGTTTCGCTGGAGAAATGATTTCAACTAACTATCCCATGACATTCTGAGTAACACGCTGTTTTAAGCGCGGGCTGAACCAACAATGAGGTAAATACGCAGCTGCCTTAAAAACTGTGCTCCTAGGGGAGTCAATCCAGGGTGCCCCGTCAGGCAGGATCAGAGTCAGACCCCCAAGCAGGTCCAACCCAGACCCCCCTACTCAGCAGTATTTGTATCAAGGATTTGGATGAAGAGGGCAGGAAATGCTTATCAAATCTGCAGGTGACTAAAAGGAGGGGGTTAGTCAACTGGGAGGCAGAAGTAAAATTCAAAACCACCCCAGGAGGTTTGGAGGGAGGGACAAAACCAAGGAATTACACTTATGACCATTCACTTACTCATGGCTCAAAGTTACATTCAAAGCCCTGAAAGAAGTGACCTATCATCGGTCCTTGCACTTACCGTATCCCTTGATGACATGATCAAAATCCTACTAGTCTGCTGTTTAGAATGGAAAAAGGACAGGAAAGGGAAGGGAAGAAGGAAAGGAAAAGGAAGGGGAGGAAAGGGGGGAAAGAGGGAGGGATGGAGGGAGAGAGGAGAGAGGAGAAAGGAAGGAAGGAGCGAAGACAATTGTGCAGAAATCAGAGAAGAAAAATAAAGAGGCAACTTTTACAGCAGTTATAAGCCTTAAAAAACCACTCTATGGTTACAACATTATTTACATTTCCCCCGTAATCTATTAGTTTATTCCACCCTTTTCCCCGTTTCCCGCAAGGAGTCCGTGCGGGGCTCCAATCCACAGACAAACGCCCTGCCCCTCATTCCAAGGGTCCCTTCGGCCGCCTCCTGAACGTCACGCAGTTGGCCATAAGGAATAATACAAGCCAAGGGAAAAATTGTACTCCAAAACACGCCAGAGCAACGTCTGAAATGCTCCCCATCGGGAGACACGCTCTGCGCAACCTACGCGGGTTAGACGAAGTGACATCAAGTGGCGGGTACATAAATACACATGCAAAACGATTACCTGGCGAGCTTGAAAGACTCCGAAAAGTCGAGGCAGGGAGAGGGAGGACACAGACTCCCCCCCTTCCCCGCCCAGAGCCCAGGATCTGGTCCTAGGGGTGTATTTTCCTTCCCCCCCCCGGCAAAGGCCCAAAGGCCCCCCCCCCTCCCACCAGGACTGTGCCACCTTCCTCCCCCAGCTGCCTGTCCGGTGCCCGTAGGAGGAAGCGCGTTACCTTTCTGGCATCGGGGGCATCTTCCTGGGTCAGCGCGGAGGGCTCCTGGAGGGGAGGGTGGGAACGGAGAGCCCCCCCACCGGCCCTGCAGCCCACCGCAGACCGGCTCCCGGGGCTCCGGGCCCTGAAGCCGCCTGGCTGGCAGAGGCCCTGCCGGAGAGAGCAGGCTGCCACTCGCTACGCAGCAAACCTGAAAGTCCAGCCAGCCTTCCTGCCGCTCTCCGCCTGGGTGAAGCGAGGCAGGCAGCGAGTACAGACACATCCAGGATGCCTTGAGCAGCCTCCCGACTCCGCACCCCACTGGGGAGGGTGGGGTGGGGGGGCAGGCAGCCCACGGCTCTCCCCTAGAGCCTCGCCGGGGGGGGGGAGGGAGGGAGGAGCCCACCCGGAGTTCCTGGGCCCCCTCGGGATGTCCTGGGCCCTGCCAGGCAGACTGGGGCACCCCGTTGGAAGGCCTGTGTGGACGGAGCCAAAGGGACGATAGAAGATCCGGCCCAGGAAGCTCATTTCATCCTCGGAGGGCTGAGTAATCCTGGCTCATACGCGCTTCGTGCTTCACATCCGCTTCGTCGGGGCGAGTGTGAAAAAGTACCATGACGCTTTGGTCTTACACGCATACGTTGCTCTACGTGCAAATACATATCACATACTAGCTCGATAACCATGCTTCGCTACGAAGCGATGTGGTGGGGCTTAGTTTTGGGGGAGGAAAATAAGGGGGGGATGGAATTGTGCCTCTGCCGACCAGCATCCATCGGTATTCCTCTGGTGAGCGTCCCGTCAGTGTGTGACAGAGTTGAGGGCTGTTTGGAAACTGAAACAGTATTTGCTGTGTGAGTAAGGAGACAGCAAGGAGCCTGGGCGTGGCTTAGCTCAACTGTTCAGTACTAAAGCTGCTTGGTGCTTTGAAAGTAAAACTGAAATTGAAACTCCTCTCCTTTGCTTGTGTTTTGCATTTGGAGCAGATTTCTTTTCAGGTGGGGAAGGGAGTAGAACTCCTTAGCATCAGAGCATGTTAATAATAATAATAATAATAATAATAATAATAATAATAATAATAATAATAATAATAATAATAATAATAATATAGGAAATACTAATGCTCTGATGGTCATTTGGAAAAATCCTTTCTTAGCGAGCCCGTAGAAGCCAAGAGGAACCTACGTGCCCAATTTCAAGCTTGTAGGCTTTACGGTTCTGGAGATTTTGTGATGATGCGTGAGGGGCATTTCGCTTTTTATCGAGATATAGGTAGACTCCAATTTAAAGTCATTTCTTTAGTGACCGAAGTTATAACAGCGCTGAAAAAAGGGACTTGTGACCCTTTTCTTACGACCGTTGCCAGCATCCCCAGAGTCGCGTCATCAAAATTCAAGCGCTCGGCAGCCGATTCATGCTTAGGATGGTCGCAGAGTCCCGGGATCAGGGGGATCCCTTTGGAGACCTTCCGACAAGCGAAGCCAAGGGGGAAATTCACTTAAACAACCAGGTCGCTAACTTGACCACTGCAGCGATTCCACTTTGCAACGCGGCAAAGTTCACTTAACAACTGCCTCGCTTAGCAACAGAAATGTTGGGGTCAATTGGGGTCGTGAATCGAGAATGACTTGCCTGCAGCCTCTGCGTCCTTTTCCCCCTCCCCGCCCCCCCCCCTTTAGAAGGGAAAAATGAAAGTGCGGATTATCCTTTAGTTCAGGGGTCTCCAACCTTGGCAAGTTGAAGCCTGGCGGACTTCAACTCCCAGAATTCCCCAGCCAGCTGACTGGGGAATTCTGGGAGTTGAAGTCCGCAAAGCTGGCTAGGGAATCCTGGGAGTTGAAGTCCGCAATGCTGGCTGGGGAATTCTGGGAGTTGGAGTCTGCAAAGGTGGCTGGGGAATTCTGGGAGTTGAAGTCCGCAAAGGTGGCTGGGGAATTCTAGGAGTTGAAGTCCTCCAGCAAAGCTGGCTGGG